TTATACTCTACATATTTAAATTTGTACTCCTTCCAAACTAAGCCTAAGTCCAATTTTGAAGGAGTACAAATACAAATATATAGAGTGCAAAACTATGTATTTTTGTATTATTTTGTATGTATTTATATTGTACATATTTGTATTTGTACTCCTTCCTTGGAAAGGCTATAAATACAAATTTGTAGAGTGCAAAACCTTGTATTTTGTATTATTTTGTATGCATTTGCACTCTACATATTTGTATTTGAAGTAAGGAGTTTCTAGAGAGTCTGACTCTGAAGTGAGTGACTGAAAATTATTATAATCAAAGTGCACTTTTAATATACAGTAAACAAAGAAAAAAGAATTTGATAGTTCTTCTCATGGTTTTCAAAACCAGACCGAAAAAATCGAGAACCGGTCACTTGATCAATTCCGTTTTACCCCAAAATCATTTTTTGGCCAAAAACCATTAATTTGGTCAGCAAACAATTAACCCATTGGTCAAACCATTCAACTTCAAGCCATCCAATGATTTTTGGCTTTTTTTTTTTTTTTTTTATCCATTCGATTTGAACAATCAAACCATTTAACCCAAAAACCCGACCCCCCAGTAGTTTATTGTACGATTCGATTTTAAAAACCTTAATTCTTCCTCTTCAATTGTTCAAGGATGAGGTTAAGGAGCTTGCGAAATATTTTCCCTTAATCTTTTCAATGCATTCCACCGACAGACATAATTTAGGTTGAACTTGATATATATATATATATATATCGGTTCTGCCCAAACACCATCCAGGACTAAAGACTCCACATAGCCTCTCCTAACAAGTTCATGGGCCACACAGTTGTCCTCTTTCTTGGTGAAATTACAGAAAAATACTGAAACCGAACTACATATATCCTTTATAATAAAATTACTACCCAAAGGTCATTCCGAATCCAATCTGTTCAATCCATCAATAAGCATCTTACAACCACTCGATCACCAATGATTTAACCTCAGCTTTTACGGGCCAAACTTCGGATCTGACTTTATACTGTATTAGGTTTAGGTTTGGGGCCGACCCATTAAAAGTTTGGCAAAAGCCAAACCCGAGCCTGGCTATAAATGGGTCTAAGTGCAACTCAGCCAGTTTGGCTCATATAACCCTAATCCTACCCAATGCCTTAAAATATAAACCCTAACTCTTGTTCAACCCTAATCTAACTTGATCATGATTATGATGGACATTGGGTAGATGACATGTCTTATCAAGCTAAAGCTGATATTTTACATGGTGTTTGGAAGTGTGAGTGCTTTTTGGGACCGATTTTTAAGAAAGAATGCCCATATTTTTAAGACCCGTATTTCATAGAAAAACACTTCTACCACATAGGCAGTGTGCAATACTATGCTGTTGGGTAAGGTGATTTTCATCACTGTTTTTTATGTATGTGCTGACAGATAAATACCACATAGGATATACATCAGTCAACCGTTGGGGGAAACGGTTCACCGATGCATGCATCGGTGGGGTCCCAATTTTCAAGGCATGCCCGATTTTCTAATAATCAACTGAACCAAACAATAAGATACATGGGCGTTTGTTGAAACATCTATATGGATCCAACTGGCACTGTTTTTTTGAAAAATGACCATAATTCCAAGCATCCCCTTAGTTATTGGGACCCATTCATTTATTATCATTTAAGTGGGGAATCCAGATTAGGGAGGCACGTTATTGTAAACATGTTAACAGTTGAAAAAAATAAAAAACAATGAGATACATGAGCGTTTGTTGAAACGCCTCTATGGATCCAACATGGCACTGTTTTTTTGAAAAATGGCCATAATTCCAAACATCACCTTAGTTATTGGGACCCATTCATTTATTATCATTTAAGTGGGGAATCTAGATTAGGGAGGCACGTTATTGTAAACACGTTATCAGTTGAAAAAAATTAAAAACAACTTTTAACAGTTGTCAGAATATTTTTAAAGTGATCAATAAATATGTCTCCTATGTTGTGCCTACTGAAACCGATATCTTATTGGGCAGTAAACACCTTTAATGCCCTATTCAGCGGCATAGTCAAAGCCTTGCGGGATGCCTTTGCCCACTGTTTTGGTGTTTTGTTTAGGGATTTTTAGGTAGTGTAGTTTATTTAAAAATGATGTGGTTTCAACTCATTCCAGTCTATATTGGCTGGATTAGAGGCAGCTTCACGTCAGGCAGTAGATACGACATCAGAATACAGTGATTGTAAGCAGTTGATATCTCCATTTTGCAGCAAGGTTTTTAAAACCGATCTGGACATCAAATCAGTTAGGGGTTTGGTTCTTGGGTCAAATGGTCCAATCATTTGAATTGAACAGTCAATCCATTCTGACAAAAAAATTAAAAAACGATCAAAACTGTTAAACGGCTCAACTGCCCAAATCAACTGGTGATTTACTGAATGCTTATACTAAAGTCCTTTTGAATGCTTTTGAATGCTTATACTAAAGTCCTTTTTTATGCGTGTAACTGTTCATATATTAGCTTATTTGGCATGTAAAGCAGAAGTATTAGTATGCTTTTAACTCTGATAGGAACTCGCAGGTGAGTATTAAACCTATACATATTAATAAAGCTCCCTCTTAAAAAAAAAAAAAAACGAAAAAACATGCCACAATGGATGCAATTATTTATGTAAAATCTTATAATAATTCTTAAAGTATTGGTTTGACAAAGGTATCACACTGTCCACACAAAAGAACATCTTCACAGCGTGTAGTATGATTTCAAACACTCAAAGTGAGGCCTAATAAATTGAAATACTCAACGTTTTATTGAGCCACAATAAGTGAATAAGGGTGGTCATGACATACTCGACAGTGAGTCTAGTAACAGTCATTATCAATCACCTTTCGTCTAACTTTTTCCATCATTTTAAACATTAGATTGGAAAAACAGAAAAAAGAAAAATCAAAAGGACAAATGAGAAAACGATAATTGCAGTATGGCATTTTCCTATCAAATCAATTTGACCTCATGATTATCAAGCCTTTGAAAGTTCAACTGTTCTTTTTTTTCCATGTGAAAATATATTTTCTGTCATATATCCTTGGCAAATGCTAGTACGTAAAAACAACATTCTCTACTCACATATTCAATTGGTAAGTGTGAGGTACTAAGGCTGAGTTGCCATGTCCCCAGGGCCTCCAACCCCAATCCTTCTTTCTTTGTGGAACAGTTAAATCTATTAATTTCATCTTGCAATTCAAAGCCAATGATTTAACCCCAAATAGTAAAATGTGGAACTTGCAGTATTTATTTCCACAAACCTGTGCACTTCATTCCATTTTTGCACCAAGCCTAGAAAATTGGGCTATTGCCATGTACAATGGTAATATCTCGCCTGACATGTGTGAGAACACAGGTTTGGATCTAAGAACATCCTGTCTATCCCTCCAATGACACTAAACAGCCAGGACCAACATTTGGGTATCGGCCTCTCTCTCTCTCTATATATATATATATATCAGAGTATTAGGATTGAGAATTTAACAAATAGAGTTGGATTATGGTTGAGCTCAACCTGAGCCAACCCAGCCTGAGTTGCACAATTCTTAGCTTCGTATACATTTTGACAAACTCTGAGTCAAAGCATATACCACCTCTGAATACCTGCTGGTGCTGGCCTTTAACAAGTGGCCTAATTAGGTCTTTCAGAGGAATGGCAACAGGGCGGGCATCATATTCACCGTCCCCGCCCCCGCTTCTGAAATTAACCCCATCCCCATCCTTGATCCCCGTTGGGAATAAAATTTATCCTCCATCCCCGATCCCCAACAGGGATGATTCCCCACGGGAACCCGAATCCCCAAAATTAAATTATAACTAATGTTTTAAATATATTTTGATATATATATACAAGTAATATAAATAATATATATTTAATATAAATAACATTTAAATATAAATATATAATTGGGGTTGGGACAGGGTGGGGACCTTAATCCCCATCATCCACGATCCCAACCCCAACCCCGATCGAGGATTCCTATTAATCCCCGTTCCCATCCCCGTCCTGCCAAAACAATCCCCATCCCAGGCCCCATAGGGTCGGGGAAGTCGGGTTTCCATCGGGGATGGGGAAAATTGCAGTCCCTAGTCTTTCATTGTGACATTTCAACTTATCTCAAAGTTAGGCTGGGCGTAGATTCTCTTACTAACATGGCTGCAGAAATTGGATGTGGTGATAACCCATTGAAGCAAGCTTGCTACAGGCCCACAGCTATTTCTTAGACCACTCATGGCTTACTGTAATTAGGTAATCCAATCCTACATGAAAGGCAACTGTTTAAACTTGAAATTAGGGGGTTACTGTCAAAGCTGACATGGGAAAGGTGGTTGTAGCGTTTGCATCCTGCCTGCAATTGTCCTCAGTCCTCACTATCATCATGCATCTAGCTATACATATGCATGACCTTAGGAGACTCTAAAAGGAGGTATTACAAATCTGGTCATTGAATTAAAATTGATTTTTGGCTTCAAAAAAAAAAAATTCCAAATGCTCATAAGTTCAATCCATTTGAGAAAGGAATTAGATTAACTGTGAAGTATGGAACTGCTGGAGTCTAATGACTTGGATAAGTAAAGATATAATAAAGGTGCACTTTTAATGTACTGAGAAAATGAATTGGATACAGCTTCCTCTTCATGGATGAAGATAAGGACCCTGTAAAGTATTTTATTGTTAGTTACTATTTCTTTTCTATGCAACCCTAACAGTGGAGAGGGTGAACTGAAGTGGATCCCAGTTCCTTCTGAGCATTCCACTGACGGCAGAACTTTAGAGAATGGACGAAAAAGAAAAGAGCTAGTCACGACTGACGGCAAAACTTCTCTTAATGCTGCTATCCCCAGAAATATTTTTCGTCTAGTGACTAGTTGAGGTCTAGCAGAAAGAAGAGTAGCAACAGTTCTATGTTTTCTTTATACCATATTATGTTTTCCCTTTCTAGTTGGTGAAAAAAACGTATAATTCAGTTATACAAAAGGATGCACTTTACCACATCATGGAAAGTTAAAGATGAATTTGCCAGATATAGACAGTTCACGAACCAAACTAATCCTTCAATTGCAAATGTGAATGAACTATGCTTAATAAGAGGTTATTTTCCCCAAAAAGCAAAGTTCAAAGTTTTGTACCAACATTGTAAAGGCAGCAGTGACATCAAAGATAAACTCTCTACTTGCTACGTTTAACAGCACGTCTTCCTTGACCTTTCTTGGGTGGACCCTTCCCACGGCGCTTCAACATTTCAAGCTTAGATAAGCGCCTGCCGAAATTGAAAAGAGAAACTAGTCAAGACATTGCAGATGTGCACATCAATCTTCAGCTTATATATCACAACTAATTTTGAAGGTCAAGTGATCTAATTTATAATCAAGAGCTGGTTTTCTTAACAAGCAAGACATCATGTTTTTCGTTCTTTGACAAATAAGACATGTTGGTGTTTAAGACGATAATTTGGGGATACTGCATTTTGAAAAATGGGCAAAACCTGTGAAGATGTATAACTAAAGTTTATATACAAGCAACTTCCATAGAAACTAGCAGAAGGGCCCATGCTTCGCACATGTAGATGAAATATGTCAATTACATGCCAATTGCAAGTCCAATGTCTTATTGTGTAGAAGACAGGTTGCTAGCATCCAAATATCAACTTGCATACACCAATACATGCTCTTCATGAGGATTGATGATTATACGTAAGAGAATTTCAACATCAGGCTCAGGTTAGGGTTTGGGCTAAAAAAAAAGCCTAACAATTTCCCAATCCAACACAACCTAAGTTGTACCCTTACCTATGCTGCCATGGTGTTTGTTTTCTCGGCATCTCCCAAGTATGTCATCTGTGGAGTATGACGCCAACAGCTCCAAGGGCTTTATCCAATAGATTATGATTCTTATGTATTCAATGATTGTCTGTTTTCTGCAATAGCACTTGCTTGCCAACCAACTTTTTGAGGGAAAAACTTCCATATATCCAATGAAGCATTTGGAAAGAAAGGAACAGCCAGGAAACCAAATAGTCCGCAACAAGAACATCAGAGAGATGGAGGAAAGATTTGTGGAAGCTAGAAAATGGAGGAAAGCGTTGAAGATCAAAGCAAAAGATTTCATATTCAAAGAGATAAGGATCAAAGGCTAGCAGAGCTTGAAGATCAGGGAGGCAAAGAAAGCCATGGTACTGCTGGAAGGTTTTGAAGTGATCAAATGGATGCAGAAGTTTGTTTTGGGACCAAGCTCTAAAGGTAAATAAGTGAATTTTATGGAGAGAGACGAGCTGGAGTGCAAAAAGAATGCAAAAGGATGCTACATAACTCTGCAGGAATTCTTTGGAGGAAGAAAGAAGCAGTTAGTTTGCTTCCCAGAAGGTAAAAGGGGTCATGGATGGAGGGTAGTGGCTGAGTTACTGAGTGATTTTGCTCAACAGCTGAAAACAAAACAAATAAAAGCTGTAGTAAAGGAAAAGGAAGTGGGTAAACAAAACAGAGAGGAAGAATCCAATGAAAAGAAATGGGTGATTGGAGAAAAAGGAAGAAGAAACTGTAAACTGGTAGAAAAGGAGGATTGGGGGCAGAAATTTGTGGTGGAAACTTCAAGCCCAGCAAAAGATTTGAGGGGTATTGTGCAGGTGATAATCAAAGAATTGAACCTTACAAGGCCGATTGTGATTACACCTTATGAATCTTGTAAGGCTCTGATTGATCTGGGTGAAGTAGTAGAGATTTCAGCTTTAATTATTCACTCAGAGGCTGGTGCTGCCACAGTCTCGAAATGGTGTCCTCTCTTTAATACCAAAAGTTTTGAGATTGAGGATAATGTAACAGTCTGGCTGCTTGGGTTGCCATTCAATCTTTGGAAGGAGTTATTACAGTCAACAGCTATAATCTGTGATGGAAGGCTAGATGGAGTCTTTGGTTATGATCTCCATTCAGTTGTGTAGAGAAGATGGGCCGAATGGCCCATAGCCCACAGTTGTGTTGTTTTTTTTTTGTTTATGTTCTGTTCTGTTAATGGGCCTTCTTAAGGGCCTGTTAGCATTAGTTTCTTATGTTTTAATTAGCTAGTCACCCCACTAAGTGCTTACTTGTAATTTCTGTTAATTAGTGATTAATCATTGTAATTAAAAGGATTACGAAAAGGAGAGAGTGTACGAACAACTCCTCTTTCATCCCTTTCTCTTCCATCGTTCTCTTCCTCTTCTTCTCTTCTTGCTGTCTTCTTTTTGTTTCTTCATCTTCTAATCAGATTTTTTATTTCTTTATTTGGGACTGTTTCTCTTCTTGGTATCAGAGCAGGCCCCTTTTTTTTCTTTCATTTTCTCTTTCTTTTAATCCCATACACAGTGTGTATGGAGAACTGAATCAATGGTTGATTGAAGAAGATATTCAGCCGAGTTGGTAGTGGGTTCTTGGAGAACAGGCCTGTTTACGTGGGTTGCAAGGTAGAGGCTAAGTCAACTGAGGAAACCAAGAAAGAAGAGAAAAAAGAGACTAACCTTAATACATGGGGAAAGTTGTCATGGCAGGGTAGGCAGAGGGCTGGCAGATCCTATGTTCAGGCAGTAACAGGAGAATTAATTGAAGATGGACACGCACAAGAGGTTCAAAATTCAAAAGGAAATGAGCAAAGGTCGGTTAGAGTGCAGGATTCAAACCGGCTTTGTGAGTTGATTCAGTCTGGTCTAGTGAACCAAGGCAGGTCACATGAAAAATTAAGTGATCACATGACCTTTAAAGAGTTTGGGGGACTGGTCCCAGGCCTAATTGAAAATAGCAGGCCTTAAGACAAGTCCGGGCCGGCTTTGTTAAAAAGGGTGGACCCAAGTTATCAAAAGCCATGTGCCTCTTTAAAAGAGCACGTGACCAAGAGAGGAGGGGAGACGATGGACACAAAACCTGTTCTATCATCGTCCCCTTTGAAAAAGACAAGCCCGCCACTGTTCACTGGTAAAAGTTTCAGGCACAGTGGAGTGGCAAATCCGAACTGGGTATGAGTTCCAAGCACAAGGAAAAAAGTCAACTCCCCAGAACGATGCAATCCAAGGTTTAAGAAGCACCACCAACTTTGGAAACAAGGTGTTTCAACGTTCCGGAGATGGTGAATCAGAATGTAACGGACCCTTTTGAAGGCTGCACAATGGAGGAAGAAAGCAGTTCAGAATCAGACTTTGAAGACTCCTCAAGTATTGGAAGTGTGGAACTTACAAAAAGCAAAACACCTAGTGATGATGAGAGCTTCCACACTGAGCTCTTATTCTTGGAAAATGAAGACGTGGGACAGATAGAAATAGCCCAGAAGAAACCCTTTCAAGTTTGTTCTCTACCCAAGGAAGCGGAGAACATCACAGCTATTATAGAGGAGAGACGGGGGATACCGGTTCCCAAATCTGCTCCCATTTCGCTAGAACAGCCTGGCAATGATAGAAGATTAGAGGGACAGGACACATCTTTGTCACCGATCATAGAGTCATCAAGTCAACTGGAAGGATTGGTCGCGACTTCGCCCCCTCTTGTTGGTTTTCAACTTTATCACCCACTTCCCACAACCTTTCAAGTAATATTGTCAATTCGTTTTTTGGTACTGATGTGTATCTAGAGGAGTACAAGAAAAAAGAGGAATTGGTAGAAAAGTCTTAATATCAAAAAGGTTTAGTAAAGTCAGGGTTTCAGTGCTGCAAAAACATTGGAGATGATTCAACCTCGAAAAAGCTATAGATTGAGGAACTAGAGAGTATATGGGGACAGATTCGTGCTCTCCTCGAGGAGTAGGCAAATAGAGGAATCCTTGGAGGAAAACCAAGGAAAATCAAAGAGGTGTAACTTAACAAAAGTTGCCTTAGGCAAATCCAGAACAGTTAACAACCGAACGAAGAAGAAAAGGTCATAGGTGGAGAGGTTGATACCAGACATAGAAGGAGATCTGGAATTTAGTGGAAGAGGGGAGAGAAGGAAAGCCTCCAAGTAGGGGCCTGATCTTTAAGGGGGATGCCAAATCTTTTGTCTCCATGAAAATCATCAGTTGGAATGTGAGGGGCTGGGGAGTACTAGGAAAAGAAGGCTAATTAAGGACCTCCTTAGAAGGGAAAAGCCGGATATTGTGATGTTACAAGAGTCCAAATTAGCTGAAATTGATAGATGGGCAAGAAGCATCTTGAAATCTAGAGGAATAAGTTGGGTTTCTGCACCTTCTTGGAGGGCTTTCGGGGGTATTGCAACTTTTTGGAGAGAGGAAGTTGTGGAGGAAATGGAGGAGCTGATAGGTAACTTCTTAGTGTCGTTAAAATTCAGGATGGTAAAGGATGGATTTACTTGGGCACTAACTAACGTATATGGACCAAGCAATTACAGAGAAATGAATGAATTTTTGGAAGAACTATATGGGGTTCAAGGGCTTTGGGATGGTGCATGGTGTTTGGGAAGGAGGATTTAAATGTAATTCAGTTTATGAATGAATCAAATAATCCCCAATAGGCCATTACAACCAGCATACGGAAGTTCAATGATTTTATTAATAGCTATGAGTTGAAGGAACTCCTAATGCTACAAGCCCTCTATACCTGGTCCAACTTTCAGGAAATACCAACCTGCTCTAAATTAGATAGGTTTAATGGAAGCTAGGAAAACAAGTAGGCGGATTTGATAGCTAGAGCTCTACCTAGAGTCACTTCTGATCATTGTCCCATAGGCTTAGAACAGGAGTCTTTTAGGCAAGGACCTCGACTCTTAGGTTTGAAAACATATGGCTGACTCACCCAGGATTCATGAAGAAGGTTGAGGAAAGGTGGAGGGAAGAATTGAAGGGGGTGAAGTGTAAAGGGGTATGATTTCACAAAAAACTAATAAGACTGAGAGCACACTTGAAGGAATGGAATAGGGAACAATTTGGGAGAATAGAAGAAATAAAATCCTCTTTGACGACCCAAACAGAAGAATTAGATGCAAAGGAATCCCAAAGAGTCATAAACTCTCAGGAAAGAGATCGGAGAAGGAGCCTGAAAAGAAATTTAGAAGAGGTCCTCTTGAGAGAAGAAATCTCCTAGAGGCAGAAATCTAGATGTAAATGGATCAAGGAAGGGGATGGGAACACTATATTCTTTGATGAACTAGCCAACGGAAGGAAAAGGAAAAACCTAGTATCCAAATTGAAAGTGGATGGGCTAGTCTATATTCTTTGATGAACTAGCCAACGGAAGGAAAAGGAAAAACCTAGTATCCAAATTGAAAGTGGATGGGCTAGTCTTTCATTCCTAAGAGGGAATAGTCAACT